CTGCTTCATTGATCATGAGATATTTTAATAAAAACGTCTAAAAGTAATTACACGCACACACACACACACAGGATATTATAAGATATTAAATAAAATAAGTTTTTGTAGATATCCTCGAAATTAAATTATTTTTATTTTTATTAGTTCTATTTTTCTTTTCTTTTTCTTCTTAAAATTTTATTTCGTATAATTTTCTATAGATTATTATCTTTTCTATTCTACATATTGTAATATGTCTATCAATTTTAGTCATCTTTTAAAGCATAATTATGAACGAATATTATAATATGAATGAGAATGAATTTCTATCAGATTCTGTTAAAAGTATTAAGATTGAGAAAATGTATAAATGTTTTAAACTTATAAAGGAAAAAACATGTTTCAGAAATTTATATTTAAATTTTAGATTTTTAAAAGCGATTTTACAATTTTATCAAACTTCTTTTTAGATATTATCTTATAGATTACATCATTTATTATTTTTGAAAGTAGCTTCGGATATTTTTGATTTTTCTTTTTCTTTCTTTCTTACTCTTACAAATTGATAAACTTACGAGGATATACTACACATACCAGATTTTCAATTACATCGAATCGTATGGTCATTGTTCAACGCCAAGCCATCGATAATGTTCCCTTTCGCTGGCTCCGGAGCTTCAGGTGCTTCATTACGATAGCGTCTGCAGGATATATTCCCTTCTTCGCGCAGATTAGCGTTTATAGAAATCCGGAAATTTCGTGGGAGAGCAAGCGGCGTGAACGGCAGCCGCGGGAATTTCCGGCGAAGTCGCATTGTCTATCGAATCATACAAGTTGGGCACAATGGTGGCGGCTTCCTTTAATGAAAGATGCTAGTTAAGGGAGGCAGAATGGGACAATGATAGAAGCATGGAGTCCGCGAAGCAGGATGAGAAAAGGGGAGGGGGAAGAAGAGGCGAGAAAGCGATGGGTGGTCTCTTCTGAAGCGACCTTTCATTCGCGAATCTCGCAAAACGACGCGGGAGAAGAGAAATGGGGATGTCGGTTCCATCGGTTCTACTTAGCAGAGATTAATTCGCGTTAGTTTGAGAGCTCTTGTACAATGCGTGGCTCGCCTAACAATAATAAACAAAGCTATAATTATACTAAACCCCGCTGAAAGTTTACGAGCTGAATTTCGTGGTCCTCTATCATCTTATGTTGCCTCGTTTCCCTTTGTCCTGCTCTCTCTCTTTCATTCACTCGTGATCTTTGTATCTTTGTCCTGTCACCTTTCTAGAAACAGGCATGTACGTATCTCGGGCTGTCTGAATTTTAACTCGTTGCACATCGCATGGAGTTGACCTATGTATGTGCCCGAAACGAGTAAAATTTCCTTCGCGTAGTGGTTTTCGCTACTCTATGCCACTCGAAGCGCACGCAACACGTTGCATGAATATGCATTTATATTTCTTTCCACAGTGTACTTGGTTTCAATTATGCAACAGCGTCTTTGCGCCAGAGATACTTACTTACGGCAAATTTGAATATATTTGATATAGATGAAAGTATGACACACAAAGTGTGTAACAAGAATATCAGAAATATTTACGACGATGATGTATTTATTATAATTGATGAACTGAAATTTAAAATAAAGATGAATTTATTATACTTGATGATTAAAATTTATTATAATTTTGTTACGATTTGTTACGATATAGTTTGTGATAAAAGCCCGCGCACACAATCTTCCGCATATTCTAAAGTAATCGTCACATAAATTTTAATCATTTACTTTTAACAATAATCAGTCTTGTGTCGTGCCGACATCCGCATCTAAGTAACTTTCGTACGTAATTACATATTTAATCGCAGAAATACGTCGTAGATCTCACTTGCGTTTTAATGAGGTAACGAGTCACGAGTCACGAGTAATTGAGCGTTCTGTCTTATAATTATTATAACCACTGGCTCGGATGCATCGACTGATGAAAAGATGTACTTGAACGTGGAAAATGACGCACCCTTGATTCTTGGAACTGTTGATGAACATAATTTGATAGATAAAAAAGGTCGTTGCATATTAAACTTACACGAGTTACTATTCTTACTATAAGAGACTATTAACGCGAATGGATAAATAACTGAAGATCCATGGAATGTAGTATTTTTATCAAAATAGATTTTTCTTCCTCCAGAGAGCTTGATTACTTCACATATATATTTTCTCTTTTATTTCTTTCTCACCTACTACTTAGTTCGGTTACCTTTTCTCCGTTAAATATCACATTTCTTTTCTCTTGTCTCGATTAACTCTTAGTCAAAAGTGCAACGCGCGTAAACTGTATACTCACTTCTCTCTGCGCGCGGTGTTACTCGGGCGCGGTTAGATTTTTATGACGTGCGCGGAGGATTTTAAAAGGCTTCGTGACGTCGATCCAGGCACGCCATATTGCAGGTAAAAAAAGATATCATGTATACAGGAGTACGTTGTCCCTAACGGTGTTGGTACTAAAATGCACGCGTATCTATGTGCCTCTCCACATACATATAGGTATGTGCGCATATATGCACATGTGTGTGTGTATATTTTACATATAAGTGTGAGAGTATGCGACGGAGGCAGAATTGGGGTGCTTTCACAAAATCACAGTGGGACGCCGACGCGGCGGGACGACTGGGGGACGGTCGTGGAGGGAAATAAATAACGTAAATTGAAAACCGCGGGAAATAAAGACAGGAAATAAAAGTGCCACGGTTAAGTACACTTATACGTGCCCGGTATCGGCAATATACACATCCGCGCATACGCAAAGCCAGCGTCGGATGCGCATTTGTGTGCATCCTCCCTTGAAGTATCCGAAGCTTTTGCTCTGTTTGTGTACCGTGCATACTCAATCGTCTGACGGAATATCGCTACCCTCTCTTCTCTTCTCACCCTTTTAGCCGAGGCTCTGCTGCTACTGCTGCTGCCGCTGCTTTTCCTCTCTCTTCCAGCGTGCGTTTTGTTTATTAATGGAAATGCGTGGAGCGCAGGCAATTTGAAAGGATATTTTCTCTCTCTCAAAACGCAAGAGAGCTCCCACGAGTCCTCTGTAGAATTCATATCGTCTACGATACCCTCAACCTGCGCCGCGGTTTGCCTGTGTGTGAATAATGCGCGTAAAATAATTAATTTATTCATTAGCTCAGGGATTAATTAAAGACAGATTTAAAATATGCGTATACGAGTTTGATAAAATAAATTCTTCTTCTTTTTTTTTTATTGGACGCTTTAGAAAGAAAAACTTGGAATTATATAAATTGAAACGATGTTTCAAGTTCCCCAAATAAATAAATAAATGTAAACATAAATCTAGCGTAATTTTATTTCTGATTAAAACAGACGTCTCGCGCGCACGTGTATTTCGTACTAGTGCCAGTGCTTACTGCTTAACCGCATTAAATGGTTTTAATGGATTACTCGTGGATTACAAAAGCGAAAAAAGGAGCGCGCGGTCTTCCGGACGAACCGGGGAGAGAATCCGGTTACCACGGAAGTGACGTAACAAAGAGAGAATAATTGAACGGGGGCCACACGTCTCCGACACGAGATTTTGCCCTCCGTCCACCTCGTCGCGTCCTTTCTCCTTCCGTATCGTCTCCTCGCCGTTTCCCTTCGATCCGTCCGGCCGACACTGGGGCTAATGGTTTAATCCTAACATGGATGTTAACCAGATTACCGGCTACGAGTCCCACTATGTGCCGTGCATTCGCCGCGGTTTCTACGGAACAAATTATCCACGATTACGTGGATAATGGTGGAAGGCGTTGAACGCCGCGTCAACCCGTACCGATCTGTCCACTGCAATTTTCTGCATCACCAGCGCGTCCGTCCCCGCCTCCTAAGGCCGACGTAATAACGCAACGGCATCGTCTTTCAAGCTCCACAGAATTTCGCATCTTTATCGCGACACTGTGCTTCTCGGCAACCCCATTTATCGCCTTTCCGATAATCCGAGTCTCGAGTATTGTGACATTGTAGATTTTGATAGAATATCTTGAAATATTAACGGAAACGCGTATCGTGTTTTTTTTTACCAATTTTTTGCTGTGTGAGCAGCCGCAGAAACGTATTCAAAGATTTCGCGATTCAGAGCAAGGTAGTTATAAAATGATACGCGTTTCTCTCTGTCATCTTGCAGTTCTTCACGCTCTGTAATTTCCGCTTTTATCTTTTTTTTTTATTACAATCGTAGCCGCAGAGAAAAAAAGAGAGTGAGAGAGGAGGGAAGGGAGGAAGGGAAGAAAGGAGGCAGAGAGGACCACTCTTGGTGGTGCCACTGGCCAGACCTTTCCGATATTATATTGCCCCTAAATTATGCCGTCATAAAAACGTGATGAAGCGACCATGACTGCGGGTGCCCGGCAAATGGTTCGAAAAATCAAGAGGAACGAAAATAACGGTCAATGGAATGGACACACATACACACACACACACACACACGTCGAGCAATATATTTGTTATTCACGGAATAGCTCACGTGGCGCATCCGTCATTCTCGAGATCCGATATGTGTTTGCTAATTCGACTGTATATGTGCACACCGTTAATAGTAGAAAAACTTGAAAATTTGCGAAAATTTTTAAAACACACATACGACTTATATTTTGTATATGTTTCTGTAAAAGTATTTTTTTAATAAAAATGCTTAGCGCCAAAGGTCATTTTTTAAATAAAAATTTTAGGTTTCTTATGAAAAGATTGAATTTACAAAGAATCTACGACATGTACATATATTTTTGGTATACATCGATTATATACTATTATAATTTTGAATACGAGATGCTGTCCAATATTGAATCCTCAAAAAAGTTTGAATTCTTGTATTAAAGAAAGAACGGAATTTAAAAAGAAGGCATATAACTTATATTAATCATAGAAATTTTGATGGACAGTTGATGGATATTATTTTACATTATTGTGTAAAAACAAATATTTTAATTTTCATAATAAAAATTTTGCGCTAATCGCGTTCGCATGTTTTTTTTTTCCGCAGATGATGAAGCATGGTTGGGACAATTACGTGCGATACGCATGGGGTAAAAACGAACTGAGACCCATTTCGAAGAGAGGTCACAGTGCCAGCATTTTCGGGGCTTCAAATATGGGCGCGACCATCGTCGATGGACTCGATACTCTTTACATCATGGGTCTTCACGATGAGTTTAAGCAGGGGCGCGACTGGATTGCTGAGAATCTGGACTTCGATATCGTGAGTATTTGTATGCTTTTATATTTTCATATTTATTATCAGCGTGACATACTTACGCTGAGATAACTTCTGAACATTTAGCAAATTATATGCGTCTCAGCAAATTATATGCGAGTTATAAACAGGATACGCTACACAAAAATAGCATTTTTTTTAAATCAAAATAAATCTCATAAAAGATAATGTTCCTACATAACAAGGACGTCTAATATAAATTATCAAAACAAGTGACAAAAAGAATTTATTTACGAGCTCTTCGAGATTGATATGATAATTGCGATTTATCTCAAAGTACATCGATGGGTAATATATTTTTGTAAAACTCATAACGCAGCGAATTTTTAGCCCGCGTTACTTTTAATAAATTATCTGTCAAGTGTTTATTTTAATCATCCTACGAAAACCGGCTGACGGTGATTGCGAGAGGATTTTGCTAGGCTGAATATATCTTTTCCTGTGATATAATACATTTATCCTCTTATCTCTGAGAAAATTATGATGAATTATATAGCTCGCTCTTATTAATTCCGATTAATTAAATGTCTTTTCTTAAATGTGATATAAAAACTATAATATCGTATAGCGAGAATTTCTGCCCTATATTTTTATTATAACATTTAACATTTTATATGCGACGTAAAAAATAATTATAAATACAATATAAACCGCGAGTTGTATTACAATAAAATTGCAAGCACGAATATTTTTTGTGCGTACGTTTCTTTGAAGAATTTCTGCAGTCTTTTGAGACTGCGAAAGTATAGTGATGTCTGCCTAAAGTGAAGGAGGTATTACGATGAAAGTTCGACATTCGCCGACACGCGTCGAAACCAATTTCGTCGTGAGTCTACTTACCTGACGCAGCCATGTTATCGTCTCCTTTCTCGCGGACCCCAACGGAAGCGAACTTTTGATATAGGCTCGCGCGTCTGCATACACTATTCCTCCTCCGCATCTCATCCTTTCTTTACTTTTACGTTATCGAACATGTCGGAAATGTGTTTGCTCTGTCAAGGAAAGTCCCATTCTGATGAGACGTCGAAGGCACCCTTCGATTTTCTCTTGGCATGCGACCTATTCAAGTAAAATGTAAGAATAATGTCACTTTATAGATATTTCGAGGCAAAGATTTAGGTAATTATATTTTGAAGCAGTTTTAAGAAATAAAAAATACGTTTTATCTCAAATGTTATGAAATCTGCAAATATACCAAATAAGTTGAAGAAAAATAATGCGCAGAAATAATGAATCTTTTCAAATATAACTTTTTTACAAAAATTCGGGATAATCCTTCAAAAATCGCAAGCATTTGCTTTGTCACTAAATGGATATGTCATGACCTTGATGGAGAATGAAAATCTTATCTTCGTAGAGCAGGACTACATTGAAATATCTCAAATCCTCGACTGGATCCAATATTTTCTCGATAAAATATCACAGCGGACCATTTTTGTAGGGCACACGAATTGAACAGCTTAAAGTTGCGACATGAAATATTCTATTGCGATAACAAATATTTTCTTCATGTGCGACGAATTGGTAAAACCCAAAAAAATCATTTTTTCATACATAACTGTTCGCAAATATTTTCACAAATTAAAATTCTATACGACTCTTAAATCTTACATTCAATTATATTAAATCTTTGAGTATAGTGACACATACTTATTTTGCGCAATGTAATATTACGAGAATGGATATGATAAACAGTTAATTGAAATTGTATCTACTTTGATCTTATTTATGATTATACTTGTTGACAAAACTTTAGAAATAAAACAATGATCTGTAAAATATATATTTTGTAGAGTAAAAAATACATCTTTCCAATACTTGACATAAATAAAAATCGATTACATGCAAAGAATGAATAAATGAATGAGATATATTGAACAATTAATGTAATTACTTTGTGCTTTAACTTTTTTCGATGGATAAATTTATTTTACAAAGCTTTCTTACCAATAGAATACGAAAACATTGACGTTTAATATTTCTCCCCCACCGAGAGGCGAACAGTCCGGTATTTTTCCTGAGAATATGTTACCCCTTCAAGGATATTCTGGTAAACAGTGCACTTAAATCCTAAATTAACTTAATCGTTATGTAAATCGATGTTCGCGGTATTTCTCTGTTGGTGCGTGTGGGAAGAATAAACTTGAGCGTTTTCGTGTGACAGTTCCGTAAGTACCGAGCCAGGAAACTTAGCCCGGTTTATCCAAAGTTGGTAACAGCCTTCCCCTTCTCTCTCTACATCTTCCCCGCGATCCCTCGAACTCTTCTCTCGCGGTGTTACGTCGGATTTCTAAGTGGATAACTTGCTGTATTAGCTGCTTTCGGCTTGCGGTAACCGGTGTATCAACCGTGTTAGAAGTTATGCCTATTGTTTCACGGCAGTTTCTGAAACTCTTTCCTCTCGTGTATTTACCTGCAAGAGATGCAAAGTCACGTTAAGAAACATTTAGACACGCGATTCCGCGCCTCTTGCTTTTATATATTCATTCTGCCTGTTTATTTATGCCATATAAGGAAAATATATTAGAGAAAGATTCATAAATTTTTTATTATAAATCTCTCTCCTAAAATATTTATTACGATAATCAAATCGGTTTCTTATATTAAAAATATTTGTATTTATAATTGTAATTTCTAAAAACTTTTTTGCTCTTTAAAATCTTTAGGTATACGTACTTTTGAATAAAATAAAGTGTACGCGCCAAACAGTTAAAAATATTCATAGTATCCATATTATTGGATTTATTCAGATATTCACGAATAAATATTAATGTTGCTCCACACTCTAGAATCTAGAATATTAAGTTTAGAATAGACAGTGAGCTATTCTAGCTACAAAGCGTTCTTATACAGGGTGTTCCAGAATTATTATTACAAGCATTTAAAATTGAGAAGAATGTGAACGATTCGAGAACACCCTGTATATTTCACGCACGTTCAATAATAACGATAAGGAACGAAAATTAAAAGGCGGCGCGGGGCAATGATGCATCTCGGTTATTCGCATCTGGTCAGCGAAATAAATTTCAATGGCCGATATGTGCGAGCGGGCCAAAAGGAATACCGTGCAATATATCGCCTTCAATGAGATTTATACAGGAATGAAAACAGCGCGGCGAGAAAGCGCGCGGGCTTTAGCACCGGCTAGGTGGGAACCGAGATCATGAACGGGTTATATGGACTTGTCCGCGATTCGGATGGGCGATAAATTCGGGGAGGAAGGGGGAGGGGAAGGAAAAGAAGGGCCTAACCGCTCCGAGTATAAAACGAAGATCGCGCGCATCGCGTATTATGCGTCGAGAATGCAGACGTGCGGAGACGGGAGTGCAAGGTAACCAGCAGCCACCACACATCCAGTGTACCTGACACCGCCATTTCTCTTTAATATACGCACAACCGTATACGCGTATACGCGGGATTAAAGAGGAGAATGCAGACGTGCGGAGACGGGAGTGCAAGGTAACCAGCAGCCACCACACATCCAGTGTACCTGACACCGCCATTTCTCTTTAATATACGCACAACCGTATACGCGGGATTAAAGAGAAAAAGAACGGTGAGATACACGTGTTTTATACGACAATGTAAGTCGTCGATGTTGCGGGTGCTATCGTTGAAAGAGGATGCCGTATCCTCGCGAGAGAGATTATTAACAGCGATGTTGTACAACAGAAATTAGCATACTTCTTGAACACATTTTTACACCTAGTAATCTTTGTACACGATCATTGACATTTTGCATTGAACTATGCATTATCAAGAATTTTACGATATCTTGAAACTTTTAGCATAATATTTTCATCTTACGAGCATAAATTTATATATATATCAACATTCACATGTGTCTGCTTTTAGTAGACATGCGATATTATAAAAACATTTTTGGCCACAAACTTCTTCGCCTGTGCAGTTATATTGGAAAACTACATACTTTTTAATATTGCCAAACTGGAATCAAAGCTGTAATATAAAAAAGATTACGCGATTTTGTTTTGCAGTTTCCATAAGAGGACGGAAAAGTACTTAACTAAAAGCTTCTTGTTAGCGATGGTCCTATATACATTTTTTGTTTAAGCTCCAACTTTTATTTAAGCTTTTGTTAAAATTTAACGATAATACAAAATACTAAATACTAAAGATAATAAACTTTTATAATTTTTATAAATTTTTGATGATATTGGTGAGCTACTTGAGCACTTTTCTATTTAGTTTTGGAAGCCTTTTTAACACTTCTAAACTGACTTTATAATGTAAGCTTAACGAGGAAAAAAGAAATGTCAGCGTCAGATTTTATAATTCTATTTTTTTCTTTTTTTATAGCACTTTAATCATTTTTGTTTGTTTACCTTGAGTGATAAATATTTCATAAACCATTTATTTAGATAACACTAGGACGGAAGTTTCTACTTTATTTTGTATTCTTCTAGTACGTACTTATATCTCGATATTTTGTTTCTCATAAAGCCCATCACGCGTTTTTGAGATATATTGTCTCCTTAATTAGCGAATATATAGACAGAAATGCATTGTGATGCTTAATTTCTTTGGTGTATCTGGATCACTTAATAACAAAAGTTTTTAAAATTGTCTCGATTAAAATAATGTTAAAAATTCCTTAAATATAATATACACGAATTATAATTATTATAAATAGAAAAGATACAAGGAATATAATTTATAAAATTAATATAATTAATTAAAATAAAATCAATATAATTTATAATATCAATATAATATACGTATGTTTGCGCGTAATAATAAAGAATATATGCTAATTATGATCAAATAATTATGTAATCATGATCAAATAACTCATAATGATTGCATAATGATAATTTAATATTGAATAAAGAGAAGGACAATTGGGACGACTAATATAAATTAAAAATTATATTTATTATTTTTTTACGTCGATGTTTTTATATCCAGTTTTACCATTATATACGTTGCCATGATCTAAATATAAATATTGTAGAATTCATTTGTAAATTTGTTGCGTTGTCATCTTAGGAATTCCGTGATTTAAGGAAAATACGTACTTTTTAATAAACCTACAACAAAAACCAAATATACGACTTATCATTTTTTTCCAAACGCAGAAAATTAATGAATTTTAGAGATCACATCGATAATAATTATTATAAAATTTTGAAAATAGCTAACATATATATCAAAATATCTTTTAAATATCATTAATATATATAATATTAGAGATAAACTGCGTTTTTTACTCTTAAAAAAATATATACGCAACGTTTATCGTTCTCATATGTTTTATCATGCGTATTATTTTACTGACACTTTGATGTAACACATCGTAAAGCGATCTCGAGATAACAATTTGCGTATATTCGTTGCGTCAACTTAGCTATACACTTGGAAGAATGAACATTTGATCTAATCGACCGCGAGATACACGAGCATCGACGATATCGATACACGCCCCCGCTATTCGTCGACATTGAGTAGATTACGGCCGGTAGGTATGCGACCTAGCTCTCCTCTGTCCTCTCATCGGAGGGCGGGAGAATGGAAGGAAGGAAGCACGTTGTGAGATATGCGAGATGCACGTAACGCGCAGTTATGCCAGGCCTCGTTTAACAGCGCTATGCGCTGACTGTAGCGCGCAACGAAGAGACGCGGGTACATCGCAATGGGCTGGATCCCCATTCCATCTTGTGTTGCGAGGCTGTCACGCGTGTAATGGCACACTTGTACATGCGTGGGTGAGCGATGTTTCGTACAGCTGTTGCGCACTCGTCTCTCGAAAAGTTCATCGGACCGTCATACCTGTAAACGTTGCTTTAATTTAGCATCGGAAGGAAGAGTCTGCAGAAATCGTTATTATAATATCATATTAAAAAGTTTTATGAACCAACTGTATCCCATAAATATTTTATTAAATTTGTATTTGTATAATAACTGAAATTATTATTCGTCAAAACATAATCTTTAAATTAATTTACATCTCTCTCTCTTTCTCTTTCTTTTATAATATTTACAAAATATCGGTTTCTTATAAAAGTATGCACACGGTTCTCAATAACTTGTGATAGAATAAACTATTTGAGTATGTAGGTGTTACACCTACATAGGTTGCGAGTCTCAGAAATGATGAAATGCGATACTATAACTTGCGACGACAGCCATATGATGTTTTCTGCATATGTTTCGCGAAATCTTCGTAACGTATACGGTGTTTGCGTAAAAACATTTCACAGGAGAAGATAGTTGAGAAAATTTACTAGAAAGGTTGGCATTCGTAAGTCGTAAAAGCGTGATAAAAAGCACTAAAGAAAACAGAATCTTTTTAAACGAGTTTTGCCATATCTTTTCTAGTTGTATTCTTTATGATATTTATTGCTTGTGCTATTATTTCAACAAATGAATAAACATGCAAAAGAATTTTTCTTATCCAAATAATAACTATTATAAAAAAGATAAACAAAGCTAAAAAATCTATATGTAATTATATGTTTCAGCTAATAATAAATGATATAAAGAAAAATCGCATTTGAATGCATTTGTTTCTTATTTTCAAACGTCATACGTGTTTTATTAACTGCATTTTTTGTATTATTTAATAAACAACTTGATCTAATTGATATAATTATTTTTATAAATTATATTAATTGATATAATTACTTTTACGAGAAATTCATGTCACGAAAATTGATATCAATATAATATTGCTATTACATCATTATATTTGCGGAAAACCATGTTTGTAGGATCCGACTTCATTGCAACCTCAGAGATTATTACTCATTATATTACAATGAACGAAGACGATAAATAAAAACGCATTTAACATATCTCTACCGATTTATTAAGCGCATCGTCGTAAAGTTTAACTTTGCTAACGAACCTTACAACGAATTATGTATAATTATATATCGCGATAAGATGACTTTGACATAAAATTATTTTTTAAATGATTAATTTATCTTACTTTAAGATGGTGTTGCACTTCAAATGTGACGTAAGTGATGACAGGATGCTATGACGATCGGACATTAACGTTCTTGTAAAGTGATTTATATATTGAATCTTTTGAAAACTCCGATAATGGTATTAAGTTATGTGTTCATTTTTGGCACACTTCCCAAAGCATCTAACCACAGTTAGCTGAAACAGAAAAAAAACCCAATTATTAACAATTAACATTAATATAATTTTTACTATTTTCATAAAATCGCAATATAAGGATTTTCGAAATTGCAACTGTAGAATAACATTTCGTTTCTTTACAAGAGTCAGTCCGTAAAATATCTTCACTATTATTTTATAATACTTGTTACATATCGATTTACAAAAATAGGGACAATAATTTTTTAAACACAACACTCAAATCACTTTACATCGATATTTTTTCAAATATATACATCTTTTAGACTATCACGTTACGAATTTAATAGTTTTACACACATTTTATGTAGTTTATTGATATTAACGCTATAACGGACATGGCTGTCATGTCTCCGAAAGAAAAATTCTACATGACAATGTGCTGTTCGAACAGCTAAAGAGGAAGGGATTCTTTGTCGCATCGCGTCTGCGCAAAAATACTGTAATCACTGATGTTCTTTTTCCCATGGAAATCACTGATGGTTATATTAAACGTATAATTTGGTTGTTTTATGTTGCAATCAGAGCGCTTGATAGTTTATAATGCACGAACGATTCACGTAATCGTACACAGAAGATCGTTTGATAATAAGGTAATTTACAAATTATGTTCTTTTGGTATTTCCGATTCTTCGTAATGTCCTGCATTATCGTCATCATGATGCGGAAAATCTGAGTGTAGTAAGATTGTAATAGCTACTATAAGAGTTCCGATGGTGGTAAGGGGGACCACATAATCTTTACAAATTTGCGTAGAATTGCAGCAATTGCCAATCGGAATGGATTTCTTCGACAACGAGTACTACGGGCTAACCCGGAATTTAATGGCGTCAATCGGTCTGTGGCCTTACCAGAAGCCAGAACATCGAATTGTTCGAGTGCTCTGCGTATCTTTTATACTCGTTCTGGCAATACTAACACAGGTGTTTCTGATCGTTGAATCGAACATACTATGTATTCATTTCTTGTTGGCGATCGGAAAAGTGTGCTTCGCAAATTTATCAAAAAAATATGTTGAGTGTTTAAAAGCGCGAGTGTTCTAAACTGCAGAAATTATATTTTTTTATCGAATATTTTGTGAATAGTTTTTGTGGATGAAAAAGATATTAATTATAACAAAAATTGAATAGTGAAAATGGATTATAGAATATTACGGAATTTTTTTTCGCACATGGTGCAAGAAAAAATATATATAATTTTTTAAATTATATATATTTATTGAAAAATATGAGAAGCATTTAAGTTTTACGACGTACATTTGCAGACACATGAATAGTATACGTGACGTATTTAATTTCTGTGACAGTATTTAATTTCTGCGTACAAAAGTGATATTCTCTTTATTTGATTTATATAAGAATTCTGTTTTTTTTTTTTTTTTAGTTAACAACATTTGTCACACACGAATATAGTATGACGTTATTAATTGAGGTTCTCTCTTTTGTTATTCTTTCTATGATTTATGCTCTGAAATATAATATAGTGTATTTTAATTCTAATCAAGTAAGTTAGCTGAGTCGATCTCAAAATTTTATTAAAAGCAAATGTTTAGTTAATATCTTAGACGTTAATCGTTATATCGTAGATAAAGAAACTCTTTGATCAAATTCAACGCGATTGGAATTTAATAAAAGACATGGACGAGTTAAAAATATTACAAAAATATGCGTACAAGGCCAGATTTTATACGATGTTCTCTGGATGTAAGTAAAATTGAACACGATTTTATCTTATCGAATTATCTTCATAACACTTATATATTGAGAAAAAAAAGTTATCAACTTGACTAAATCCGTTCAACTAATTACTATTTTTTTTAAATTGAAATATTTAAGTGTTTAAGTAAAATACGATATATTAAATCTAACATGATATTTGACTTAAATACTTAAATATTTCAATTTAAAAAATAGTAATATCACATTAATGTATTAAAAGACATATTTTTTTAGAATATTTTATACTCTCTTTCAGGTGCTGTATATATGAAACCAGGAAAATCAACAACATATGCAACATGCACATTTAAATCCACAATGAAACATTTTTTATGTTTATCGAAAAACCCGGCAATCGTTCCCATTGCTGCACATTTATTTCTTTTACCTCTTCTGAACGAATTACGCTGCTTTCACAAGGAGTGGCCCTTAGTGGTATCTCGCGTAAGATATTCTTCATACATTTCGAAATGAGATATACAATATATGTATATTGCTACGATATTGTTATAATGTTGTAGATACGATTAGCACCCAATTTGTATTCGCGCCCTAAATATGTTTGGACGTCTTTAAAATGGAACAAGGAGGATACGTACCCATGGATTTACGATATATCAAATCATTATAATCATAACGCTAATGCACTTTTAAGATTGCCACCTAGTACAGTGGAAGCGTCAAAATTATTACCTGACGCATTTATAACAACGATATTTGTTGGCTCAAGATAATTCTGCCAAAATATTTTTCATCAAATTCACCAGCGAGAGTTTGCGTATATTTTTACATAATGGAATATATATTTTTTAAAGTTTGAATAGAATTATTATTATTATTATAAAAAGCTCATACACATTAGATATTTCACAAAAAAAGATTGAATATGTATATATATAGCATTATTTCATATAAAACTTAAAGTAAATTCTCTATTAGCGAAAATATATTGTAGATATTTATCATTTGTTCCAACTTTTCAAATTTTATAGTTTCACATATTATATTCAAATCAACATTCTATTAAAGAGAGAGCGACTATTTGAAATATAGAAAAAAATCACGCAAGTAATATTATATATTATTTATTTTATTTCCAAAATTTTTAATTTGTGCGAAAGAATACTATTACTTTAAAATAATTTATACTTTAAAAACTATTATGTGTATTTTTATATTTTTGCTAACGAAAATTAGCTTTCAGAAAAAACACAAAATTTCACAGAAAAAAAAAAAAAATTTTTTTTCGCTCACTTTCCGAAATATGCAATATTATAGCGATAATTTTAGCGTTTACGTATTGTTGCGATATTGATATTTGATATTATTGTAATGATTCTATAAGTTAAAAATAAAGACAAATAAAAATTTTGTTTTAATAAAATGCATTATTTTAACTAATAGTTGCATTTTAATATACTGTACGTGTTAATAATTATTAGACACAATTAGCCATCAACAACGATTGAAATTAAAAGTAATGATCCATGAAGAGAGATTCAACTTAAAAATAATAATGCTACTGCTTGCATCAGAGAGTGAATTGATCAAATTTTAGACTTAAATACTTAAATATTTCAATTTAAAAAATAGTAATTAGTTGAACGGATTTAATCAAATTAACAACTTTTTTTTTCAGTATACTAACATACATTAGAAAAATGAATTAAAGTAATAAAATTAAAAGTCAAATATCAAAGAAAGAACGAATTTATTAGAAATATTTAGAGAAATAAATTATAAATATTGTATGTAAGTAATAAAAAACATTAATTATTTTAAATATCGCGCACTAAAAGTTTAAATTATTTTCAGTGATTGTTTACCCGGGAACATTCGCCTTTCTTTTAATAGTATTTATACCAGATATTCTCGACAAAATAATGCCATTAGACGAACCTCGTCCACGACAATTTCCGATCCATATAGAAATGTTTTTCGATAAAGAGAGATATTTTTACTATATCTCAATTTTATTTATAGTAGCCGCTTTTTTGGGTATGACGGTACTCATGGCAACGGAAACTATGTATATGACATTTCTGCAGCATGCTTGTTGTCTGTTCGAACTCATTAGGTGATACAATATAGTTTTTAATATATCCAATACCGCTGAAATGTTTAGTCTTATATTATAAACAACATTATTTTTTATCACAAAGAAAGAGAAGAGATCTTCAGTCAATTACACAGCTTTGTACTAAATTTTATAAATCTATTAATGATATTTTTCTTATTTATCTTATTTGTCGATTATATTGTGAAAGTTTTTAATGATATAAAAATGTAATTGTATTTTTATAGCCACCGTTTAACATATGCGTTCAATACATATTTATCAAGAACAACACCTTTAAAAACGAAATGCAAATTTTGCACTAAACTATTCAACGCTTTTATCACTCATCAACATTGTTTAGAGTGAGTACTTGATACATTCCGTAATTCGTAATTGTGTGTTGTGTAATTTAGGATAAAATATAATATTTTAATAACAAAATAATATTTGACGTTACAAGATTATATGTATCCGCTATATTTAATTTGCATGTTATTGTTAATTAATGCAGCTATTTACTTAATTATAAAATAAATTATTGTTTTATCTTTCCAAGATTTATTGAGGATATGCAGCGTGGATTTTCATCATCTTATTTTGTTTTATGTATATTCGGTGTGGCATCGTTAAGTATTAATATGTTTCGCGTGAGTATTGAACATAAAGATCAAAGTAACACCAAATTACAATATATGTCCCAAAATTTCTGGACGTTTTTTTAATAGCCGATTTTTTGGCCAATAGGGAATCAATTTTTCCTAAGCGAAAATGTCGAGAAAAATCATCATTTTTTCCAAATTTCCAATTTTTTTTATCATATAACTTTGTAATTAATTGTAAGCCACAAATTAAAATTCTCTCTCTCTCTCTCTCTCTCTCTCTCTCTATTTAAGTTAATTCCATCTGCAATTAACTGAAGAATATAATTTGGTTAACCAATCGACTTTTCCACTTAGAAAAGAATCATATTCAAATTAGTCAAATCTGATACTAAAAAGGCATTCGGTATTTCGAGACATATATGCTAAAATATTATACAGATAACTCTTGATATATATAACATTAAATTTGTCGGTCACAGCTTCTTAATGCAGTCACAATACATAATATAGTCGAGGCTATTTTAATCGGTTTATTCGTATACGCTCACTTCTGTTATATATTCTGGATGAATTATTTTGGACAGGATATGATCGACCATAGCGAATGTTTTTTCCAACAGATGTGAGTGCATTTTAGACGGCATCCAAATTTGTGCAGGGAAAATATTTTACGTACTAGGAAACACGTATTTGAATATTGTATAGAGAAATTAAGTAATAAATAGATATTTATATATAAGTAACATTTATTAGATATAATAGAATTATGTGTGAGTGATTTCTCTCTGACTAGTTTCTTAACTTGTTGATCTCTCTATATTCTATGATATATTAATGTATAGATACAATATACGATGGTACACAGTGCCGCTGTATGCTCAGAAATTATTACTCATAGTGTTGCAACGAAGCGCGAAAAGCAGCAGGATTATCATCGGTAGTTTATTTGTTGCGTCGTTGGAAGGTTTTGCCACGGTAATAATATATATCAACAAATGTATAACACGGACTAGTTCGTTGCGTTTCATAGTTAGTTTTACTCTTCTTTGTCTTGCAAGATTTATTTTTTGTTCAATTGCCTTATGAGAATAAATAGATATAATTTTTTGATGAATAAAGCGAAAAAAACGATATTTTACTATGTAGAAAAATATGGAAAAATTTGATAAAAAGTAGCATTTTAACAAAATAAACACAAATCTTACACATACATCTTTTAATTCTAACACATAAGGTTTATTATATAAAAATATAAAAGAAATTTCTTTTTTCAGCTTATTAGTATGTCAATGTCTTATTGTATGGTCATGTATTCGGTTCGAGCATAATGATTTACGGCAGTGTAAATGTTATTATCGACACAAAATCGTGTCGAAAGTGTGAGTAGTACTATCAATACTTGTGAATAATCGGATTCTCTAATCCGATTATTTGCAAAGAATAGGAAAATAGAAATATAACAAACAGCAATATAATTATTTCATCTCTATTATATTATAAAAATTCCATGAACTCTATTATATTATAAAAATATTTTTTGGGAGCAACGGTCGCGCAATGGTTTAAAAATATAAACTAAAATAAATTAAAAAGATATAAAATTAATACAGTATATATTTGTATAGTAAATATCTAATAAAAGTATATGTGCACAGTAAATATTTAAAATTTTTTTTTTTAATTTGTATTTTATTATAGAGATATGGCGTTTCTATAATAATTTAATTTAATAAAATAATTATGATTATTTTCTAACAATTATGTCACTTTTTATATATTGTATAATATTTAAAAAATTTATTTTTTTATATATCGTATGCGGTAGGAATTGCCATCACAAATATTTAAATTATATTTGAAATTTTGGTCGCACGCGCACATATATATACACACATATGTGTTGTAAAATACAATCTTATTCAGCAAAAAATTGAAAGTTCCCAACATTTGGCCGTCAAAGAACGATAGAATAATACCACTGTGACTGTTGCGACAAATGCAAATTCTGTTCTTGTAAAAACAATCGGTGGCTTCAGGAACAATGAAATGCGACATAGACATCTAATTACGTTTCGCCTGTGTCATAAAAAATACATATTTTTAGATTATTTGCGCTTTACGGCTATCGAAGTTGCATAACATATAATTTAGTTAATTGCCGTTCATTTATGTATGCTGTGTTTTTGAAACGTTTTTACGATTGTTTCCCTCAATCGAACTTCTTCTTTTTTTCGTCAAATGTATATACACAGAAGTTGAAAAATATTCGTTCCATTATCCGATAATATCAACTATTATCTTGATAAGGCGGTACATAGAAATACGGAGAAATTATTAAATATAATGGGATAAATAATGGGGAGAGGGGCAAAGAGGAGGGGGAGGAGCGCTATAAGGACGTCCTCCACGCATGCAGATGTATTTCAGTTCTTCACGAGAATGGATGTGTACGACGATCGATTTTACGGAATTACTCGACGTTTGATGATTTCTCTGGGTCTCTGGCCTTATCAGAATCCAAGATACAGGAAATTCCTCTCGGTATTTGTATCGATTGTTTATATACATGGTCTGATATTTCAGGTAAAATAAAATAGGCAAAATAAAATTTACATTGCTCATTTTATAGCGTATATTATTCTATCATAACGGGAAGGGGGGGGGGGCAGTACATTATGTGATTTTTTGAATAAAGAATGTGGTGAGATGTATATTTAAATTCAGTATATATAAAATAAAATTTTCGTATATTATCTTACCAATTAGCTTTCACTCGTATGCACGTAAATAATTTGGTTTATAGTATACGACTTTTATCACGCATCAGTTCAGTGCGAAATTATTCATCGAGATGATGTCTTTCAATAGTCTGTTAATCCTCTTCATCATAAAATATAACACAGTATACTTGAATTCTACAAACGTAAGTTGTGAAGGTTTACAATCGTTTCAATGAAATTTGCAAATATTATCGTTATTATTTTAATCGTGAGCGCGAATACGATCTATATGCGAATAAAAAAGATTTTTATTTTATATAAATCACTTTACCTGTGACAATATCAATATCGACGTTTCATCAATCATCGATGGTAAGAAAAGATATTTCTTTACTTGTAGTTTATATTATCGCAGGTAAAACTCTTATTGGAACAAATTAGTTACGATTGTATCGCCATAACGGATACCCAAGAGATTAAAATAATACAAAAATATGCTTCTAGAGGGAGACAGTATACTGTTTATTCCGGATGTTAGTAAGATAACGTTTACGCTCATATTTTGAAAAGCCGTTTATATCTGATTTTTTTTTTTTTTTTTTACATGCGAAATTAATCATATATATAATTTAAATATTTATGCAAAGTAGGCTTGTGGGCAAAGTAAACTGCTGTTTCTCACAATTATTTCAGTGTTCATTTATATAGCTACAGCTTTTTTTATCTTGACATTATTTATACCCGATATTCTCAATCTTGTGATGCCACTGGACAAATCCCGTCCCCGGCTGTTACCTACACCGGTCGAATGCTTTTTCGATGAGCAAAGATACTTTTATGCAATAGTATCTGACATGACAGTAATCGCAATGGTGGGCATGACCACGTTCATAGCCACTGAAACGATGTTCATGATATTCATACAACATGCTTGTGGATTGTTCGCGATTGCAAGGTAAACAATTGCCCAAAAACAAAACGCGTTTTAAGATTATTCTCTCTCTAGGAAAAAAATAACTGTATAAGACATGTTTGCTTGAACAATATTTTATTTAAAACGATATATCGAATATTTACAGTTACCGTATAACTCAGGCGTTCGACGATTGCAAAGACAATTCTGTTATTAATGCAAAATTATCACATGCCGTAAAAATTCATAGGCGATCTTTACAGTACGTAACTTAATTTTTTACTTTCGCGATTGTCTTAAATTATAAATATTTTATTTTTATACTCAATAATATTTCAAAAAATTATCACCAAAAATTTGAAAATATGTATTATGTTGATTTTAAACGAATATACAATTTTGGTATCCCTTAATTTGGTCCCGAAATTAAATGTCAAAACTTCGAGAGCGTGTGGGTATCGATAAACTAAGGAAAAAGTCCTTTAGAGATTTGCTTGTTTTTGCTTCGTTTTGAAGAAAATTGCAAAAACAGAAACAATGATTTTTTATCAAAAAACTTAAAATAACACTAAAATTATTAGGTTTATCAAAAAGTACCATGAGTTATAGAGTGAATTAAAATACAATAATCTCGCGTTGTCGCGTATTTATTTACAATCCTTTAATTTTACTTTAGGAGGATTTTAACTTACTCCCTTTTTTTAATTCCATGCTTTACAACTTTTATCTCATGGTACTTTTCGATAAATCTAATAATTTTAGTATTATTTTAAATTTTTTGGAGAAATTTTTTTTTTTTTTTTTTGCAATTTTCTTCATTACGAAGTAAAAACAAGCAAATCTTTATGGGATTTTTTTTCTTAGTTTATTGATCCCTCACACGTTCCCGAAGTTCTGACATTTAATTTCGGGACACCGATGTATATCGTGGTTTCTTTTTAATATATGTATATTTTCAAATAGAATGACAATGTGATTTTATTTTATGAATTGTTGCACATTTGGACATTATTATTTTTAATATTTAAGATTTATTGAATTTATGAACTCCTGTTTTGCTGTATCCTACATGATTCTCGTACTAGTTGGTGTGATATCGCTAAGTATCAATATGTTACGAGTAAGTACTATTTTCCTTAATCATTTAATTCTCTTTTCACCGCGCTGAAATATATTTGTATTAGAAATGCCGAAACAAATATCTTAAAAATGTTTTATATTAAGTATATTGTAATATAAATTTTTATTAATATATATACACAATACAATTCTATTTGAATTATTTAATTAATATTTAATATTTTTCATTTAATTTGTTGTTCTATATCATTCTTTCTGTTAGATGTTGAGAAATTCACATCGTAAAATAAATGTTCGTAGAAGCTTATTAAGCCGTAATTTTATGCAAATTTAATTTCAGATTTACGTAGAGATATTACATTGAGTATGAAAACATTAAAGTGTACAAATGGATGCATAAATTGTGTTTGCACTCAGCCTTTACTGATGCACATGAGAGGAAAGGCACGATGGGCGTTGGACACCATTTATGCATCTGTTTACATGTAGTTCGGGAAATGCAGTTTCCGATTTGTTTTAGTTGTTCCAAGCACTTGAGAGTAATATATTCGGTGAGATATTGGCATCCGGTTTATATGTTTTATGTCATTTTTGCTACATGTTTTGGGTGAATTATTTTGGACAGTATCTATCTGATCATAGTGAAAGTATTTTTGAGGAAACGTAAGTGTCGTGTAAAAGTATGAAATACTTTATATAAAATTAAATTGATAAATGAGGAATAGTATTGAATAAATTAGAACTCCAATGTTAATTAATATGAGCTTTTGTATTTGGAATATGTTTTATTCTTATGGTATTTAATACATCTCTTACAAAAATATTAATTGGCATTGAATGATAATTACAGATTTATATCGAGAAGAAATATAATTATTACATCTATAATATGTTTCTATAGAAAATTAATATAAAGTTGGTAATAAAATAATTATATCCATTTTTATTCAAATCTATAGATATAGCGCACAATGGTATATCGCTCCTCTATCTATTCAAAAATTATTACTTATTATAATGCAAAGATCAACAAAGACGTCTACGTTTAACGTATTTAGCGGTATACTAATCGCATCGATGGAAGGTTTTGCTTCGGTAACAACTTTATAAGAAACCATATCGTAATAGGAAAACGGAATAATGAGAAGTATTTTTCAGATTACTAGTCTATCAGTGTCTTACTTTACGGTGTTGTACTCACTCCGGATGTGATACGGTCAATGACGAAAGGAGACACGATAGCGATGACATTAGAAACTTACACTATTCATTGTAAACTGATTTCAAACCGAATTTTAACAAGTTTGAACAATGCTACATTAAATTGCATTTAACACATTTAATCAAAACATCTAGTTATTTAGTTAGAATATAAATTAATCAAATTAAACCGCAATGTAAGCATTTTTTTTTTTAATTACCATATAAAATAACTATGCTTATATAAGAATCAGCATTTAAGTATCTCTTTGTTATTATTAAACGGAAAAAAAAAAACAGATGTTTATTCACGGATGTTTCCAAGTATTTGTGTTATCATCAAAACTCATAGCAAGGAACTACGGAAATGTGTAATCAACTGATAAAGTATCATATTTCACGCCACGTCCTTTCTCGTGTAGATATAAGAAAAAAAAAATTACGCATAAATTTTATAATGTGAAAAAGAAAAGAACGCGATATTTTCAAGAGTAATTTATTTAATTATCTTATTTATTGCTATACCGTATGGCAATACGCCACCACATTGTTACTACTTCATTCCCTTCATCCCCCTTCATAAGCGGTTTCCATATTTTTTTCGTCACACTGCAATAATGTCATGTATAATAAAACAATTGCAATCATCTTATTCCCCTCTTGTGTGCCGACAAAATGTGCCCTCAGTTGTGTCACAGAGATGGACTTCGGTGGTAGTCGATACTATACTCTTAATCGGATGATGTTATCATCTGTTGGGTTATGGCCTTATCAAAAGGCATGGCCTATTCGAATTCAAAGATTCTCTTGTGTAACTTGTGTTGTATCTTGGATAATAGTTCAGGTATCATTATATTCCTATTTCTGATGAAAAGGAATAATTCAACGATTTATACGAATCATATTATAATTTTTTTATTTTACTTTCTTTATCTATTGCATAAGATTATATATCTTATATCGAGAAATACAATTCCAGTTACTCACATTTACGACATTTGAATACAACTTGGATCTTTTCCTTCAAATTTTAACGTGCACGCTTCCTTGTTTGATTGCCATTCTAAAATATATTACATGTTGCGTAAAAATCGAATCGGTAAGTCACTGTATGTAATATTATTCTTAATATTTCTTTAATATTACATTTTAATATTTTAATATCTTTAATCTTACGTTTTAATCTACTCGCAAACTTGTTAGGTTTTTGAAAAGTTATAAACATATTATAAAATACATAGAATACTAATATATAGAAATCATATAATAAACTATATTAATTTATTTATAGAGTGAGAGAGAGAGAATGAGAATTTATATATATATATATATATATATTTTTAATGAAAATTCTTCGATGTATTGTGCAGGGATAATTTTTAATTGTGACACACGATACGGATTCAAACTTTTAATCTTTATAACATTTCACACAATTACGAGACATCACGAAATATATTGCAATCTATTTTCTATATATTAAATATTGAATTATATAAATGTTTCAATCACTTTAATTCTTAATTTTTATTCCCACAAAGTGCGCCAGGTTTTTTAATCAAGCATATATTTTTAAATATCCGTAATTTTGTAAGTGTCAATGTTTGCAATAAATAGGAAGCTATCTCTATATGTCTCACGAATAAGTTTATGAAATGTCTTGTACGACAAACAAGATGATACTAATAGTCGGACGAAATCGAATGGAGCAATTGCGCTTGCGTAGATAAGAAATGAAATAGGAGAAAATACTGTGAGAAATACTTTGATAAAAGTCCTGGTGTATAGAGTAAAATATCGCATAATTTACATAATTGCCGACACCGGCGACTTCTCTTATTGTGTTGTGAAAGTAGTCTTTATTTTTCTCACTATTTTTCTCGTCTTTACACAGCTGAATATTAATTATGAAATTGGATAATGTTTGAAATCGTAGAGGGAAATTTTTTAAGAAAAGTGTCTCTAATGAAAGGTTTTACTGAATATCGCTGAAACAAAGGATGCTGGAGCGTCTTATGTACAGTCGCGCGATAAACTTTGAAGAGAGATGGATTTTCTTGGGTATCGATATTATAAATTGTATCGGCTTTCCTTATTATCACTTAGTTTGTGGCCATATGGCAAATCATTCCTTAAACAAATCCATGCAATTTTCTGTATCTTTCTGCTTATATCTTCAACAGTCACTCAGGTATATAATTCGTTAAAAAAAGAGCTTTTATGCTAAATAAGTATAAATCGAATATAATTAATATACGCATTCAATATACGCACATGCTTCTCCCTTTCTCTGTAACTTTGAATAAAACATTTTTGATTTATATATATATATATATATATTTTTTTTTTTAAATTCGATATTTTGGTAATAATAATAGCTAGGACCATACCGTTTTCACGATTATATATTATTGAATGTAATTCAGAACTCAAACATTTTTAATCAGAACTTGTAATTTTCAAAATTTTAAAAGTATATTAATTTTAAAAATTCGATATTTCGGTAATTATAATAGTTTGGACCATGCAGTTTTCGCGATTATTCTTATCTTATTGAATGTAATTGAGAACTCCACCATTTTTCATCAGAACTCGTGATTTTTAAAATTTCTTGTAAAATGTATATTAATTTTAAAAATTCGGTTTTTTGAAAACTATAATAACTAGGGCTATGCGGTTTTCGTGATTATACTTGTTTTATCGAATATAATTTAGAACTCCGATATTTTCAGTCGTGATTTTGAAAATATCACTGATATTTGAAGTAAACTTTTTTAACCAAGAACTGCAAAACTCTTGCATAGAAGTATCAGGAACTATATAATTATTTAAAAGAGCATCAGAACTTTTTTATCTTGATGTATCAAAAATCGTGAAGTTGGAACCCTCTTTTTTCGAAGTCTACTTTCATTTTTATAATGGACAGAACTCTTTTTAAAAATTATTAAGAACTCTTTTTTTCTTCTTCTAATTAATTTAAAAATCTTAACATAACTATGGTATTGTAACATAGGAGTACCAACTTCACACACCCATGTTAAGCGTCGTATAGTATATAGAGATGTAATGCATTGTATATACAATTATAGATGAGAAAGTTGATGGAGATGATAAAATATGACTGGAGTACGCTAAAAAGTAGAATGGAATATGAAATAATTCAGAGATACGCTTATATAGGAGCATCTTACACACAGCTATTTGCATGTAAGATGATAAAACTTTATTATGCTGTTTCGTAAGACTTGATGAACTATAAATTTACTTAGCCGAAAATTACTAAATCTCCAGAGCTGATATCACAATTTTCTAGAAACTTAATTGTTTTAGAAAATAATTTAGGATATCTGTTCTTTCTGGCTACATATATTAGGATTGCTCTATTTAATTATCTAAGTTGTTTCTTATATTATTATCTTTGTGTTACATTTCACTTTATGTTATCATTTTACTTTTCACCTTCTTATTACGTCGAACGATATTAATTTCCTGTTATTAATTACAGTACTCACCTATATTTCTCCGCTATTAATTGTCTTCATACATTTTATACCCAATATTCTTGATATTGTGGCGCCGCTTAATCAATCTCGTCCACATCAGCTGCTAATTTTATCTGAATATTTTGTTAATAGCGATGAATATTTTTATCCTATTCTTCTGCATATGATCGTCTGTTTTTTTATACTTTCGGCTATATTAATGTCTACCACATCTATATATGTAGCGTACATACAGCACGTATGTGGGATGTTTGAAATAGCTAGGTAAGAAATATTGAAACCTGACAAACAAATGCAAAAATTCTACATATTCAAAATTTCTTATTTTGCCGCTGTAAATATATAACTAAACAGATAACTTGCTTTTTATTAATTTTATCAATATTGCTTTAATAATAAAGAATATATTTAGATTTAACGGCAACATATTTAATATTAAAAATTAAAAATGTGTAATAAATTGTTTTCTAATTGAAATTTTACTTATAAGATTAATTCCACTTTATCAAAAGAAACTGTAACAATAGGAAATATTACATTTTGGAAACATTTTATATTTAATTTTGTATTTTTATTAGTATTGATATACGCATTAATAGTTACGTTTTCAAAATTATTTTGGATTTTATAATACATCAATTAATTGTGATATTAATTGTGACATTAATAGTAACATTAATTATGTCGCATTCGATGATGAATTTTCTTTTTATTATATAATCCTATTATTTTAGCTATCGTATTGAACATGCTTTGGACGATTATGAAAAAAAAAATTTTATTTCTACAAAATGTTGCATAGCTTACTCCAGAATAATCGATGCCATCGACATTCACAGACGAGCCATCGAGTTGGTAGTTTCTCATCGCATAATTCAAGATTTAAATGTCGTTTATATGTTTCATCAAATTTAAACATTTGTGGTAATTTTCCCGCGATTCATCTCTCGTGATATTCATTTATTTTACTTCATACATAGCTAATTATAAATTAAATATTGTCGAGGGATCTATGTGTAAGGCATTTTCTCATTGTTAAAGGTTTTTCGAGTTAATGAAGGATACTTTTGTAATAATGTATTTTTTTCTACTTTTACTCGGTGTGGCATCTTTAACTGTTAATCTATATCATGTAAGTAATATTCTCTCATTTCACTAAATCCTTTTTGTGTGTGCGCGATAACAACTGCTATTAGTAATATATTTTAAAATAACATGACACACACACACAGACACACATAAATTTAATTTTTTGTCGATATTATGATATATAAGCGGATGTGTATTTAAAAAAGCATATTTTTTCTACATGTGAAACTTTTTATCTTTTTTTAGGCGGTAATCACACAGGGATTTATCGAAAATATTTTTCCTGTAGTAATTGTTTGTATTCATTTGTTTTATTTTTTTTCTGTTAATTATTTGGGACAAAAGATATTGGATCACAGCGACAATTTTTTATCAAGAATGTAAGCTATTAGAAATCAATCTATGATCAATGTAATTGAATATATGAGAATCATTGCTATACATTCAGTTTATTTTGCATTGCATATAAATATACTAACATTTTATTACTTAAAATGTATATTGCACTGCACACAAATATGTTTTTTATTGTATAAAAAAATATATTCATGTTATTATATGTATCATTATAATACAATTATAACTTTAATTGTAATTCTTATAATTCTAATTTATTAAACAAATACATATAAAAAAATATTAGTATATTACTATTAATATTTTCAGATATAATTGCAAATGGTATGTGACGCCGTTGCACGTGCGGAAATTGATATTATTTATAATGCAAAGAAGTTCGAAAAATTGTATGCTACTCGTAGGTGGTATCTATATTGTGTCGTTAGAAGGTTTTGCCGTGGTAATTATTGTTAGCATTATTTTTCACAAAAATGATATCATTCTCTCTGTCGATGATCTCTTTGTTCTAGAGTATGAGCACATCCATGTCCTACTTTATGGTCATTTATTCAACACGATCATGTTCTAAATGAAAATTCTTCGATGTATTGTGCAGGGATAATTTTTAATTGTGACACACGATACGGATTCAAACTTTTAATCTTTATAACATTTCACACAATTACGAGACATCACGAAATATATTGCAATCTATTTTCTATATATTAAATATTGAATTATATAAATGTTTCAATCACTTTAATTCTTAATTTTTATTCCCACAAAGTGCGCCAGGTTTTTTAATCAAGCATATATTTTTAAATATCCGTAATTTTGTAAGTGTCAATGTTTGCAATAAATAGGAAGCTATCTCTATATGTCTCACGAATAAGTTTATGAAATGTCTTGTACGACAAACAAGATGATACTAATAGTCGGACGAAATCGAATGGAGCAATTGCGCTTGCGTAGATAAGAAATGAAATAGGAGAAAATACTGTGAGAAATACTTTGATAAAAGTCCTGGTGTATAGAGTAAAATATCGCATAATTTACATAATTGCCGACACCGGCGACTTCTCTTATTGTGTTGTGAAAGTAGTCTTTATTTTTCTCACTATTTTTCTCGTCTTTACACAGCTGAATATTAATTATGAAATTGGATAATGTTTGAAATCGTAGAGGGAAATTTTTTAAGAAAAGTGTCTCTAATGAAAGGTTTTACTGAATATCGCTGAAACAAAGGATGCTGGAGCGTCTTATGTACAGTCGCGCGATAAACTTTGAAGAGAGATGGATTTTCTTGGGTATCGATATTATAAATTGTATCGGCTTTCCTTATTATCACTTAGTTTGTGGCCATATGGCAAATCATTCCTTAAACAAATCCATGCAATTTTCTGTATCTTTCTGCTTATATCTTCAACAGTCACTCAGGTATATAATTCGTTAAAAAAAGAGCTTTTATGCTAAATAAGTATAAATCGAATATAATTAATATACGCATTCAATATACGCACATGCTTCTCCCTTTCTCTGTAACTTTGAATAAAACATTTTTGATTTATATATACATATATATATATTTTTTTTTTTAAATATTTATATTATATTTATATATTTACTTGGCACTATCGCATTTCTTGATTTCTTTCATTATGCGCAAGAAATTGATGAAAAGAAATATTGCAAACATAAAACGAACATTAGGAGTATATTCTGAATAATATTATTGAATAAAGATAATTTTTGAAAAATTATAGTAAAATGGTAGACAAATTATAGATTAATCATTTTTAACGGATTAAAAGTAAAATGTTTAAATGATTAATTTTTTATAATTGAAATGAAAAAGTGTATCTGATACTATTGATCGATAAAAGAAAGAAGCGTTTTGTCAGCTTGATAATATATAAATTTATTGATTTTAGTTGTTGAAATTGTTTACAATGGAATTTGATCTTGAACTTGTATTGACTAATCTGTCGTTTGCTTTTCCTTCCGTGATTTATCTTGTGAAATATTTTGCCTTTTATATACAGTCTCAAAAGGTAAGTTATACAAGTTGTCACACATGTGAAATAGATTCGTCAATTCATTGTCACAGACGATCTAAATACTTGATAATATTCATAACACTTTAAATAGATCAAGGAATTAATGGAACAAGTTCAAAATGATTGGAATGCACTAAAAGATGAGCAGGAAGTCGAGATAATAAAAAGATACGCCAAGCGTGGAAGAAAACATTTATATATATTCGCGGGTAGGAAATCGGATCGAAATGCACAAATGCAAGTAATTATTTAATAATTTTCTTGTTTGTGATATAATTTGAGATGTTTTGTGATCTCAGGCCTAGTTTATCCCGGTACTATTGGTTTTATTTTATCGCCGCTTTTGCCAGACATTCTCGATGTCGTAGCACCGCTAAACGAATCCCGTACACGGAGTCTTCCGTATTTAGCGGAATACTTTCTCGATCAACAAAAACATTTTTATCCGCTATTATTGCATATAAATTTAACGATTATCGTAGGAATTGTCACTATCATAAGCACGGAAACTTTGTTCTTTGCATATGTTTATCATATTTGCGGCATGTTCGAAATAACCAGGTAAGACAGGTTGTATAATGGCGACTTAAATGATTAAAAAGAATTATTCCAACGATTACATCTATATCTATTTCACATTTTCGATCGTTACAGTTATCGAATAGAGCATGCGTTGGACGAGAGTATGTCAATATTGTCTACATTGAATAGGGAAAATACAATTCGTATGAAAATAATTGATGCTGTAGAGAGTCATCAGAAAGCCATCGTGTTGGTAACTTGTACATCGACAATATTAACATTACTACAAATAATAGCACAATTGTATATAAACTTTTATGAATTTGATTTGCATAACTTTATCCTTTTTAATTACTACGCATCCACACACAGATATATATATATATATATATAGGAATTTTTTTACATTATCTTATTTTTTTTTTATTAATTCTTGTTAAATAGATATTCTACAAATTAAAGTAGAGCTGAATTTTTTATAACGTAAATCTATATCAATTAATTTGTGCCAGTTGTGTACAGATTTTGTGCCGATTGTGTACAGGATTTTATCATAAAGTTTTTCAAATATCTATTAAAATTATTTTCTATGAAACGCGCATTATAAAATTTCTTTATTTTTAAAGGTTTTTTGAATACATGTCGTCTACATTTGCATTATCCTATTTTATTCTAATTATTCTGGGGGTAGCTTCCTTGAGTATCAACTTATTCCGCGTAAGTAAATAATAATAAATTCACATGTTTGTACACCGTATGTTAGTCACATATGACCATATATATGTTAATTACAGTACTTTTATAGTACGTGTTTACTTTGATATCAGATTAGTGTTTTAGAGAATTCGAATTTAAAAAGCAAATTTAATTTTTTATCACATTTCAGCTTTTTCAAGTTGCCGTTATTATGTCAGATGAAAAGGAAAATTTTTTATTATTCCTAATATTTGTAGTCGGTCATTTTTACTATATGTTTATATGTAATTACATGGGACAGAAAATCATAGACAACAGTACGGGAATTTCTAGAAAAACGTAATTATCCGTTTAAAAATTTAAACGATCCGTTTCTATGCTATATATGTAGTTTTGCTATTTCACGTTGTTTGCAAGTTAAAGTTGTTTGCAATTTATTAGAACTTTACTACAAATGTCATTAATTATATTGAAAATTGGTAAGACAATAATGAAGAATTGCTAAAGTTAACGAGTATATTTTTAATATATATTTAATATTTCCATCAGACGCGTTTGAACTCGCTATAAAAATAATTCTTTAGTATATGGAATATTATAAAAACTTTTAGATACGATACGCAGTGGTATACGGCGCCTGTGCAAATACAAAAACTACTACTATTCATGATGCAAAAAAGTATGAATTCTTGTAAATTCGTCATGGGCGGCATTTACTCAGTGTCATTGGAAAATTTTACTACGGTAACTTGTGTCGCCGGCTTGACAATAAACTTTATTTTTAGCTCATCTCAAAATAACGAATTTATTTCTTCAGCTTGCGAGCATGTCACTATCTTACTTCACGGTAATTTATTCCGTACAACAATGAAACCTGTAAAAGGAGCACAGAAACAATAGTAGCCGGTAGTGTTTTGTATTCGAAGAGATGATAATTATCTCAAAACCGAGTCGAACTAATTCGAGATGGATGTAAAAAAATCATTTGCTATTAATAGGACAGACTCTTTGTTGTTTGCAAGTATTATTATATTAATAAATAGTGTCTTTTTTTATTATATTGTATATAAGTCTTATTTCATCACCCATATTAACCTGGCACCCCCACCACGAAAAATCGGGTTCGGCCATAGTGCATAATTAAGTGCTAATTTGTTGCTAATTTATTGCTCTAAGTTCGAATTTATTGCTCCTACCCGTTAGCAGGAAAATGATATTAAAGATGGGGGTGCTGACTTGCCATTAAGCTAGCACCCCCACCTCCGAAAAACACTTATAGCGAGTCGCAAATCATAAAACAAATACACTAGAATTTATTGCTAATTAATTGCTCGAAGATACTGCAAACAGATTTCAAAAATATTAAATTTTTAATTAACCACCAATATGACATACTATGAACATATAAAGTAAAATCATCAAAAATAAGTAACTAACAATATTAATTTGTTACAATATTGTATTCTGCATTAAATGCTCTCAAAACAAACCATTTCCGAATTTATTGCTTATATATATATATATATACATATATCATAAAGTAAATATTTTAAAAATAATTTTTTGTTATATAATTTAAAGATAAAAATACTACTTTTAAAATACTAACGTTTTGAAAAGAAATTTAAAGTGTAAAAGAGTATGCGATGTGATTTCTCCAGTTTTAATATACAATTTAGTTCACTTACGTGTTCTAATAACTATGTGAAAACTATTCGTTTATAGATATGTTTCGCAATGGTATGTTGCTCCTCCACACGCGCAAAAGTTATTATTGTTTATGATGCAACAAAGCATCAAAGGTAGTACCTTGTCCGTGGGGGGTTTGTTTGTTCCATCGTTGGAAGGTTTCGCAATTGTTGTTTGCAAGTATTATTATATTAATAAATAGTGTCTTTTTTTTATTATATTGTATATAAGTCTTATTTCATCACCCATATTAACCTGGCACCCCCACCACGAAAAATCGGGTTCGGCTTATTTCATCCTCGGGCGGATCGTTGTCTCCACTAAAAATTTTATCATATTTGATGTTTATTTATGGAATAGTTTTGAAGATTACTTTTGTTTTTAAATTAATGAATTAATTTGTTTTTAATTAATAAATTAATTTTTGCAAATATTTTTTTGACAGAAACGAAAAAAGAGATACATTTTATTCTTAAAATAAACATTAAACTTAATAATTCTTTTTACATGGAATAGGTGGAGAATTAATAAATTATCAACTTTTATTTAAAGAAAAAATTAAGCATTTTTGCGTGCAAAAATATGTTAATAATTAAATTGTCAATTTTAGCTGATTGCAATAGAACCTACATATATCAACTATTGCTTCGAAAACCTACATGTAAGAAACTAGAAGACAAAATTAAACGGTAAAAATCATTATGACCTGAACTGTGAAAATCAATAACAGCTGACAGAGTTAAACGTGCGAACCCTCTGCAATATCGACTTCGATTGTTTAAAATTCAAAAAATCCTTGTATCAGAATATTTTAATTAATTTTCACTATAGAAATATGCGGTAATTGTGGAATCCCCCTCCCTCTATATTAACATATAAGGAAAATTAATATTTATATAATTACTATTGTGTGATTATAGTAAACATTATTACACACGTATATATATCTTTTTCTTCGAAACGAATGAAGCGTACTTCGCTTTACGTGTTTTATATTATCACCAATGATATTGTAAAGTCTTGCATTTAAAACAAGTTATAAGAAATGATGTTGCTCTCAGGACGAATTAAACGAGAATGTAATGTGTTTGAACGGCATAGACGTTTGCTCGCTACTGCGCTTGCGTCAGTTTAGAGGGAGAAAAAAAAATATCGCTATATTCATCGCTTTAGACTATGGAATACGTAATTAGATAATTGGTCCATTTGTCTCACGATGGACTTACATGTTGAGGAAACTCAAGAAAATAAGAGGACAAAAATATTATATACCTTTTTAATAGCGCAGAGCAATTTCGAATAATAAAAAAAATTGCAATACGATACCAACTTTACAAACTAAAATAATACATAATACAATACGCTAAGAATGGTCAAAGCTCATTTAGAGAATGGCGACTGGATAGATATATTTCGACTATTGAATGAATATGGACTTTGTAGGACATCGCTATTACAATATATATCGAATCCTCTTGTCCTCGGTTGGTTTATGGCCATACCAGGATCCGAGGATGAAGAAAATTCAAATTGTTATTTCTTCCATTATTCTTGTATCCTCTGTCATTATACAGGTAAATAATTTTTAAATATAATACATATAATGTAATCGTGATATTTAAATTTGCTTATATTATACATTTCGCAACTTTATTATTATTTGATAGAAATTAATTAATTAAAATCAATAGAGCATGAAGCGAAATAAATAGCACATAAAATTCCATCAATTTGTAAATAATTTTATCAATATCTATCAAATATTTAAGAACTTGAAATAATACAAACAAAATGTATAAAAAAATATCGATTAAATGGGCATAAAAATTATTGTAATAAAATAAATTTATCGATATAAAAAATATTTTAAATATACAAAATATAAAATATACTATATACTAAATTGTATTTAATATAAAGCCAATATTAGCTATTATTAAATAATAAGCAACATTTTACAATAAAAAATAAGTACTATTTTTAAATGTGATTAATATAATTTAAGTAGAAAGTTACGAATTTGATTTATTCTCTTTCACGTACATACATAAAATAAGTTTCTTATTTCAGATTGCCAGTATGTCAATCTCATATTTTACAGTAATTCGTTCCGTTTAATATCAGGCAGAAGACACAAATATAGACGCATCTTAATCACATGCACAATAGCTAGTACGCCTTAAATCAAATACTCTATAATCTTTAAGGCATATTTCGTTTCTGAAACAATAACAATAAAGGAAATTAAAAAAAAAATAATATTAATCTATAAATATTATAAATCAAATAGATAGTATCAAATAAATAGTTGTTAGTAAAGTTGCTACTAAGTTTTAATGTTTATTATTGATTTACTTTATCTATATTTGCTCGTGGGTACGATGAAAAAAAAAGTAATTAATTGTAATGGTGATATATTTTGATAATAATTTAAATTTTATATAATATTCTTAAAACTAAATAGACGATGTGTCTAGATAATAAAGCAATTTTATGTACACATACATACATACATACATATATATATATTATATATAATATATCGTGCGTACTGCATCTCTTTGTATGCGCGTATATCTAGTGTTCGCGATGTTGAAAATCGTGAAAAAGCGGCATCTTCCAGCAGTATATTTATCGCATCATGCGAAGTAGTGTAAATACACTGGTAATCCGATATAACTTTGAGCAACGACGCGAGGTGAACACTTTATGTTGCAGCTTACTAGCTTGTCGCTGTCTTACTTCATGGTAAATTATTCTGCGCGTTGATAGTGTGCACCATCACAAAGAAAGTTGTAGCTAATTTGCATAAATTTAACGCGAAAGCGATCAACCAGCAGCTCTGTTTTGATATGATAGGTGTTGTAATTAATGCCATCCATTTGAAGCTTGTCAGCCGATATTATTACGTTATCGTAATATCGTATATACATCACGAAGGGAGAGAGAAAGAGAGAGCGAGCAGTTTTATTAATATTAATAAAATAAAATAAAGAAAATATATTGCTATATATGAAGTGTACATTAAATAATTAAATTCTCTGTAGCAGTTTGTATAGCATTAATATCTAAATCGATTCAATAGAGAGATAAAAAATGATTTATTTAAACATATTAAATAATTGAATTATCTAATTATTCATAGAATGAAGTATAAAAACAGTGAAATGCTTAATATGTTATATATAAAAATTACAGGCACATACAATTTTGCATATCTTTAGAATAGAAATTTTATCAAGATGTAAATTAAAATTTATCTAAAGTGCAAAGAATTATTTCTTATATTATTAGAACTTATTAAAAAGATGGCGATTCTATCCTTTGATAATTATTCATTACTAAATAGTTCGAGATTCATTTACAAACAAGTACTATTAGATTTCTGTTGAAGAAATATTATTAAAACATTAATACATATTTAAAGAATATTAAAAAAATGAAGAGAAACTAAGGTACTTCACACGAAGGATCGAGATGAACTGAAGAATTATAACCACAAGTTGCGCCTGCGTCACTTTAAGCGAGAGAAAAGCAAACATCAACTCCGCAAATTTAAATATTAAAGAAAATACATGGTTACGTATCCGACAATTTCCTTTCGCGTTTATTCTTTTCTCCGACGATGTCAATCTAGAAAATTATTCAATTTTTATATATCTCTCATTATCATTCATTTTGATATTACATTGTTTCTCGAAAGAAAAGGCTATAGAATAAATTGCTTCTAAAGCATTCGGAAAAAAGAAGAGCGAGAGAGAATCTTTGTTATATGACTGTAGTCATGTTTTCGTCAGAGTGCGAGATGGATTTCATTGGCGAACGATATTATAAGATCAACAAAATTCTTTTGAATAGTCTCGGATTATGGCCATCTAAGACAACAGGGCGCATAAAACTTGAGCCTATAATCTTCTTTGTTATATTCTTCTCCTTTTTATTTGTCCAGGTACTCCTGCATTCTTTATACAAAGTTTTTTCATTATAGTACAAGTAATACACGTAAAAAAATAAAATTTATGCATGTGAATCTATTACGGATTGTTCTATGAATCTATTGAAAATTGTTATTTGCAGTTTTGTACATTGATAACTTCAGAATGTAATATGAATCTAATTCTCAACGTTCTCTCTCATATCTTGCCTACTTTTATCTATACCGTGAAATACTATGCTTATTAC